GCGCGGAGAAGGAACTCAGGGGGCCACAGCGTGGTCCTCCTGAGACTGGGAAAAGGGCAGGCGTGGTAGGCTCAGAGGAGCAGAGGCTGGGGACGCCTGCGGATCTTTGGGGTCTGGGGACCAAGGGGAGGGAAGGCAGGAACCAGCCAAGGAAGTGAAATTAAACTCAGACTAGGTTAGAGGCAGGACAGTAACTTCTGCTGAAAGCGCTGTCTTTTGTATGATCCCCATCCTCACAAAGGGAGTTAAGACCATAGGGGAACCCTAGTTCCCTGCAGGAGCTAACCCCAAACTCCAGCTGGTTTACCCAGAGCTGGCTTTGAGAGAGCACCGTGAGGATCTCCTGCCCTAACCCGGTTCCCACTGTTCCCCAGCGCCAAATCTTGCCTGTCTATCTCAGGATGACTGAAATTCCCCAAACCAAACATTTGAGCATCTTTCTGAGAGTTTTAAAGATTAACAGACTTGGGGCTGGGGACATAGCTCAGTTGGTAGAGTGCTTGCTTTCCATGCACAAGGCCCTGGGTTCAATCCTAAAAAAACAAAAAAACAAACAAAAAAAAAAAGAAGAAGAAGAAGAAGAAGATTAACAGGCTTCCCATTTCAACAGAGTGGTTTCAACAGAGAGTTAGAAGACCTTTGGGATATAAGGAGAAAATGTTAGTGCATCTTCATCCCATTTGATGCACCTTAATATTTACTGATGACAAATTTTCTATTTTTAAGACTGAACACTAAGATGCATAGTCAAATTATCCTGTTTTAAAATTATGACTTAGTTCTGAACAGGAGGACTTTTGTTTTGTTATCCTGAGCTTTGCATGGTAACTGGCACTCCATAAATTGTTCAATGGAAATAGAACTTTTGTCAATGGACCATTTTCATTCTGAGGGTAAAATTCTGCCTCTCTGATCACATTCACAGCCTGTGTGCTTTTCCTTAATGAGGAGGATGCTTTATTAATCAGCTTCTCTCATCATGAAGCTCCCAATTTACCTGTAAGATTTCAGGTTCCTCTTGGCTCTAAGTGGCTGATGTGGTAATGTGGATCTGGCGTGGTGGGCTGGGAACACAAGAAGTCAATTTTTAGTCTCTTTCACCCCTTTCTCTTCCTCTCTCTCTGCACTATTAGGCAAGTTACTGCTCTGAGCCTTCAATTTCTTCATCCATAAAAGGGCCATTAGCTATTTTATGGGACTCTGATGAAGATGACAAAATGGTTGCCGGGCAAAACCATGATTTCAGATTAATCTAACCATCCTCTTCTGCTCTTTATGGGGACTGTTGACATGTTAGGACAAGCCACCAGCCATGTCCATCCACTCAGCTGCAGATTTCTGGTATCGGATGTTGTCTGGATCCCAGGTGCCTCCATGTGCCAAGACCAATACAAGTTCCTATTGAGTGCTACTAGAGTTATGCCAACTCTGGGTCACATGCAAAGTTCTCAGTATCTCTTCTAAGAGTTGGTTTTGTTTCCAATTGTACATAACACCCAAAATGAAGCTATAAAATATGAATATATATCATGTCATCATTGTTTTTCCTAAGGAAACAAACTATGCCAGAATGTAAGCAGTTAAATATGAAAGCATTCAATCATGTTCTTTCATACTTTTCTATGTTTTTCAAATATTTTATTGCAACACATATTACATTGTTTCCAAAGTAATGGAAACATAGCCAAAAGGGAGAGTTAACATTTGTGCAGCTGCCGCCCCCTTGCAGACTTGTCCCCTGTTCTGGTCTAGGTGAAGCCTTCTCCCGGGCTAAACAGATGATCTGTGTTGACTTTTCAAGGATCTTGCATTGTCGTTAGCTATCTTTCTCCACTGCATTCAACCTCTCACTCTGTTGTAGTGTATTTTCCTCAGTATGTAAACAGACACAAGTCCCCTCTGCATCTTAGCAAACAGATGACTCCCTCCCTGAACCTCAGGTTTACTTTGGCTTCACTCTAACTGTAGACTTCTACCCCTCCTTCCTTTAATAGCCAGAGTTCTAGAAAGATCAATCAAGTCCCAGTCTCCACAGTCTTAAGACTGACTTCTCAAGCCATTGCAGTCTGGCTTCTTCTTTTATGACACCCTTAAAATTGCTCTTGCCAAGGTTTCCAGGCACATGACGGTTTCGTTTCAGTCTTCCTTACTGGATTTCTGAGGCATTTGACACCACTTTCCATTCTCTCCTTGAAACTCACTCTCTCTCTTTAGTTTCCTATGGCACAGTTGCTCCGACTGGTTCCTTCAGTTTATATCGTGTACCATATGCTGTGTGCTGTATCTACCCACAGAGAGTGTTTGCTATCTTGGTTCTCACATGAAAGGTGCACAGCTCCTTAGTAAAGATGTCTGGCTTAGAAAGTTTAGGAAGCTAGTCTGTGATGACATGGCTACAAATCCCAAGTTTTATCCTCCCTGTGACATTTCTCTTTTCTGGATTTTCTTTTGCTTCTGTGGCTGCTTCTTTTCAGCTTTCTTTGGGTTTTGGCTCTTTTCCTTTCTCAATCTGTGCCATCTTGTAACATCTCAGGTCTGCCATGAATTCAACTACAGGTTACACCCCCAGCCTGGCTCTTCCTGGAGCTTATAGCCCCCAGGTAGGACAGTGGGAGGCATTTCTGTCTGGTAGTTCCACAGGCCTTCAACTCAGTGTGTGCACCGTGGAGACCATGGAATAGTCCCCGATACCTTACCCTTTTATTCTGGGTCCCCCTGCCTGGGTGTCGTGCACTGGTCTTCCTTCTCCCCCAGCCTCATTATCTAGTTTATTGTGCTACCAGGGCAGAGCCTTATGGTGGCTCACAGGACCTTTGCAGTTACCCTCCGGACCACTTCTCTGACTCATGTTTTCACCCCAGCTAAGCTCCCTGGCATCTCACTTAGAGGAGTCTTCACCATGTACCACTCCCATCCCGTCTGACCCAGCTCGGGATTCTCCAGTGACCTGTCCAGACATACAGTCTGAGCATCTTTCCTTGTCTCTCATGGTCTCACTCTTCCTAACCTCTTATCCCCATGTCCTACCACCTCCCAACAACTTGCCTTCCACCCTCCCAATATTGTGGACTGCTCTGAATTCTCAATTCCATTATCTCCTGCTTCTCGGCATGTATTTCCTTTGTATAGGATGTTCTCTCTGCGCTGGGCCATTGGACAAATTCTGTCTCATCTGTGGTATCAACTTATATACTGCCTCTGTGAGAAGGCCTTGCTGACTTCTCCCAGGGAAGAAAAAAGTGCCTCTTCTCCTGTATTCTTCGTGCCCTTGGTAGAACAATTGCATTACATTCTAATTATCTATCACCTTCGTGTAACCTCTTTAGATTGTAAAATTATTTCTATATTATTATTTTTTACTGTGAAATAAATGCATTGACTAAAGTATAGAGATAAGGAATAAATATAAAGGAAACATTTGTTTCGTCTGTTTGGGTTGCTGCAACAAGATAACCATAGACAGGATGGTTTATAAACAAGGGGAATTTATTTCTCAGTTCTAGAGACGGGAAGTCCAAGATGAAGACATGAGAAGGTTTGGTGTCTGGTGTCTTTCTCTTAGATGGTGCCTTATCATGTGCTCACACAGCAAGAGGGGTGAGGAACTCTCAGGATTTGTTTGTGTTTTGTTTTGTTTTTGGTACCAGGGATTGAACTGAGGGGCACTTAGCCTCTGAACCACATCCCCACTCCATTTTTATGTTTAATTAGAGACAGGGTCTCATTAAGTTGCTGAGGATAGCTTTGAACTCATGATCCTATTGCCTCAGCCTCCCAAGCTGCGGGCATTACGGGTGTGTGCCATTGAGCCTGGCTTTTGGGTATCTTTATTAGAATACTTATCCCATTCATTTGGCCTCCACCTTGACGATCCAATCATACCCGAATCCCACAAGCATATCACCTCCTAATGTCATCATGTCAGGGGTTAGGATGTGAACATATGAATTTTTGGGGGGACATACAGACCATTCAGGCCATAGCAGTAGCTATTACCCAGATTATGGAATGGCATGTTTTCAACACCAGAGGAACCCCTTCTTTTGTATCACTGATTCCCCTACTATCTTGGCTCTTATGACAGTTACCTTTTGGGGTTTTTTCCAGTTGTATTACCTGTGTATGTACCTGTATTCCTAGTACTTGATGCAAGTGTAAACATGTCATGTATAGTATTCTGTTGCAATTTCTTTCTTTCATTGGACATTGTCTTGGTAGAATTCAGCCACATATTATATGTGTCTATATTTCTTCCTTTTAATTGCTGTATAGTATATTCCTTTTAATTGCAATATATGAATGTATATTCATATACTGCATTATATGAATATATTACATATAATGCATCTGTTAATGGACACTTGGTTTATTGCCAGTTTTTGGCTCTTAGAGTGTTTCAAATATCTTGTAATCTCTTTTGTTGCCTGGGTGCATGAATTTCTCTAAAATATGGATCCAGAAATGGAATTGCCTGTTACAGAGGTGTATATTTTCCACTCTAATAATGCCAATTTATATTTCAAAGTAGTGTCAGTATTAACATCCCACCAAGGTGGAGAGTTCCCAACACTCTATCTTTGCCAACATGTGGTATTGTGACTTAAATTTTTACCATTGGTGCAGATAGTGGTGTTTCTCTGTGGTTTTAATCTGTATTTCCCTCTTAGCAATGAAGTGGGTGCCTTTCATGTGCTCACTGGTCATCTGTATTTTCTCTTTGGTGAAGGTTGGATTCAAGTTTTGCCTACTTTTCTAAGGGGTTGTTTATCTTATTGCTTTATTAAAGTTCTTCATAACATCAGGATGTGAGTCCTTTGTTGATCACTAAGTGTTGACAGTGATATTATACTATAGAATCACACACCCTCTTATTTATTGATTACAACAATTTTAAAATTCTTTACCCTAGTACTAATGAGCAAACAGAAACAGAATAATTGTAAAAGACAAACAACCATGTATGTTAGTTCAAATTAACCCTCCCCTTCTCTTTTTTCCAGGTGTTATTATTGTCCCCAGTGCTGGTGTTGGTATTGTCCTCGGAGGCTACATTATAAAAAAATTGAAACTTGGTGCAAGAGAATCTGCAAAATTAGCAATGATCTGCAGCGGTGTGTCTTTATTGTGTTTTTCAACCCTATTTATTGTTGGATGTGAAAGCATCAATCTAGGGGGCATCAACATCCCTTATACAACGGGGTAAGTACCTCTGAAGAGCCATCCCCTGTCAGCATGACCAAAGTGGGAGCCCATAGTGTTTTATGTACCCGGGTAGGATGCCCTTCCTCCTGGCTGTCCCTCCTGTGCATGCTCTGTCTCTCCAGGTGGAGCCCACTCTTCTGGCAGGCAGAGGCCAGGACCTTGCCTTTGTCCATGTCCTTTTTAATCCTACAGAGTGTCCTTCATACCACTTTGATGACAGAAGATGAGAAAAATGCTAGTTGGATTAATGAATACTGTTGTTTTTAACATAATGTTTATTTCTTGTTTTTTTTTTTTTTTTTTTTTTTTGCACCAGGACTGAACCCAGGGTCGCTTAACCACTGAGCCACATCCCCAGCCCTGTTCTGTATTTTATTTAGAGACAGGGTCTCATTGAGTTGTTTAGCACCTCGTCTTTGCTGAGGCTGACTTTGAATTCCTGATCTTCCTGCCTCAGCCTTCTGAGCTGTGGGATGACAGGTGTGCACCACCGCACCCAGCTAACATAATGTTTTGAATGGGTAATATATCCACCTAACTTAAAAGCCTCAAATTCAATGAAAATACAATGTACACTGAAAAGTCATGCTTTTATCTATGCCTCCATCTCCTACTTCTCCCCATTTCTCCATCCAAAGATAAACCAGGTAAACACATTTATTCATTTTTAAAATATCCTTCCAGAGCTCTTTTATGCAAAAGTATAAATATGTCTTTTCAGTTTTCCTTGTTTTATATGCCACATACGGCATTTTACACACACTCCTCTGAGCTTTGTTCTCACGTAACAATATAGCTTGGAGCTCTTTTTGTACTGTAATATAAGAACGTGAAGCATAGGTGACCCTTACGCTGACCCTTCTGTGCATCATTCTTCTAAGTGCTTTGTACATATTAACTTGTGAATCCTCACAACAACCCTATTAGGTTGGTGCTGTTATCATCCTGATTTTACAGGTGACAAAACTGAGGTACAGACCACACGGGTCATTGGTTCAACATTTAGCAGTGCCACCTTCTCAGAGACTCTCTTGCTCTCCACAGTCCAAGGAGCTCACTCTTCATTCTTGATCTTCTTGCCCCTCCTTTTAATTCCCTCTTCGCAATAGCACTGAACATTATCTGAAATGATCTTGTTTAATTAATTTCTTTGTTCTTGTCTCTGGCTCTAAAATATAAGCTCTTTGAGACCAGTTACTATATCTGTCTGGATAATGGTTGCCTCCCTGCCATCTTAAACAATGAGTGACAATTGTTGCATGGATGTGTGGGTGAATGGGTGGATGGATGGATTGATGATGGAGGTCTCCATTGGACTTTATTCATTCATTGTACATAGTCCTTTCTAAATACTTTAAATTTAATACTTATGTCTGTTTTCTTTTTGCCTTGGGGAAATTTTCTTATACTGTAGTTTTTCTCATTCTTGCCTCTTCATTTTACTTGTGTTCTGCAGGATTCCTGTTAATCAGATGTTGCAACTTATGGACTGGATGCCTGTGTGTTGAATTTCTTCTCTTGTATTTCATATGCTGTTGTCTTCTGCTATGGGTGTTTTTTCCAAACTTAATTTTCTTTCTCTCTCTCTCTCTCTCTCTCTCTCT